CTTATATCACAGAGACGTAGCCTATGAATGCATTTCTAGCAGGTTATAGACCAAACATTGCAATTATCACAACTGGTCTGGTTGCATTAGGTTGTTTTTCTCCCAGTAAATTTACCCGCGCACCGCTACTGAAGTTAACCAATTGCATCTGATTTTTTTTTACAGAAAATTAGGGTGTGCTGGGAGGTGGGGTGGGAAACAAAGCCCCAGGGCCTACGATTTCGTAATCCGGAGCTGGGCGCAGCATATTGATGTAGGACTAATGGTTAATGCTCAGTCTTTCTGAACAGGGGCTAATTACACTATAGTGGCCAGGAAATACGATGACATTGCTAAAGTAGACAAAGAATTCGTAGAAAACAACTTTTTCCATCATTATGATGTCGTCAAGTTTACTTTGGAGAGATGGCAATAGCTAGCAATGCTAACGTTAGCTAGCTAACATTTCGTTGATCTCCCATAGCTAACGTTATACTGCATCTAAAGTCAATCTGGCAACATCACAATGATGACAAAAGCTTTTCATACTAATTATTTGCCTCCCTTTGAAATGTCATTGTGATTCCAAGCCACAGTAATGCACTTAAATGAGATCTTCATCAGCAGCTACTGAGATTGCATCAGTCCTAAAACAAACGTTCAAAACAATATTGTGACAAAATGTGCAACCCATGAATAGACAAACCTGTAGACAGACCTATAGACAGACCTGTAGATAGACCTGTAGACAGACCTGTAGACAGACCTGTAGACAGAACTATAGACAGGCCTGTAGACAGACCTATAGACAGACCTGTAGACAGACCTGTAGACAGACCTGTAGACAGAACTATAGACAGGCCTGTAGACAGACCTATAGACAGACCTGTAGACAGACCTGTAGACAGACCTATAGACAGACCTGTAGATAGACCTATAGACAGACCTGTAGACAGACCTGTAGACAGACCTATAGACAGACCTGTAGACAGGCCTGTAGACAGACGTATAGACAGACCTATAGACAGACCTATAGACAGACCAGTAGACAGACCTATAGACAGACCTACAGACCCACAGTAGGACCAATCGAATAAAGCCTATAGAACCTATAGGAACAACCTTTGAAACAAATCAATCCATCATTACCATACCATAGCAGTCTACAACACATAGCTACAATATACTTTTGTAATGGGAATGCATCCCAAATGGCACCCTATTCCATTTAAATTGAACTACTTTTGACCAGGGCCCATAGGGCTGGGCTCTGGTCAAAAGTAGTGCACTATATAGGGAATAGGGTGCCATTTGGGATGCAAACTGGGAATGCAGCGGACGTGGTGGCGTCAGCGCCGGGTAGGCGAGTTGGGGAGGGGAGCGATTATAACGCGGCCGGGTCAGACCTCAGGCGGAGTGTTATGATTAATCTACAATGGAATTCGGAGAGGAAATCAAAACAATATTGTGACAAAATGTGCAACCCATGAATAGACAAACCTATAGACAGACCTATAGACAGACCTGTAGATAGACCTGTAGACAGACCTGTAGACAGACCTGTAGACAGACGTTTAGACAGACTTATAGACAGACCTGTAGACAGACCTATAGACAGACCTGTAGACAGACCTGTAGACAGACCTGTAGATAGACCTGTAGACAGACCTGTAGACAGACCTGTAGACAGAACTGTGACATACCTATAGACAGGCCTGTAGACAGACGTTTAGACAGACCTATAGACAGACCTGTAGATAGACTTATAGACAGACCTATAGACAGACCTGTAGATAGACCTGTAGACAGACCCGTAGACAGACCTGTAGATAGACCTATAGACAGACCTGTAGACAGACCTGTAGACAGACCTGTAGACAGAACTGTGACATACCTATAGACAGGCCTGTAGACAGACGTTTAGACAGACCTATAGACAGACCTGTAGATAGACTTATAGACAGACCTATAGACAGACCTGTAGATAGACCTGTAGACAGACCCGTAGACAGACCTGTAGATAGACCTATAGACAGACCTGTAGACAGAACTGTGACATACCTATAGACAGGCCTGTAGACAGACGTTTAGACAGACCTATAGACAGACCTGTAGATAGACTTATAGACAGACCTGTAGACAGACTTACAGACAGACCTGTAGACAGACATATAGACAGACCTGTAGACAGACCTATAGACAGACCTGTAGACAGACTTATAGACAGACCTGTAGACAACAGACTTATAGACAGACCTGTAGACGACAGACTTATAGACAGACCTGTAGACAGGCCTGTAGACAGACGTATAGATAGACCTATAGACAGACCTGTAGATAGACTTATAGACAGACCTGTAGACAGACTTATAGACAGACCTGTAGACAACAGACTTATAGACAGACCTGTAGACGACAGACTTATAGACAGACCTGTAGACAGGCCTGTAGACAGACGTTTAGACAGACCTATAGACAGACCTGTAGATAGACTTATAGACAGACCTATAGACAGACCTGTAGATAGACCTGTAGACAGACCCGTAGACAGACCTGTAGATAGACCTATAGACAGACCTGTAGACAGAACTGTGACATACCTATAGACAGGCCTGTAGACAGACGTTTAGACAGACCTATAGACAGACCTGTAGATAGACTTATAGACAGACCTGTAGACAGACTTACAGACAGACCTGTAGACAGACGTATAGACAGACCTGTAGACAGACCTGTAGACAGACCTATAGACAGACCTGTAGACAGACTTATAGACAGACCTGTAGACAACAGACTTATAGACAGACCTGTAGACGACAGACTTATAGACAGACCTGTAGACAGGCCTGTAGACAGACGTATAGACAGACCTATAGACAGACCTATAGACAGACCAGTAGACAGACCTATAGACAGACCTACAGACCCACAGTAGGACCAATCGAATAAAGCCTATAGAACCTATAGGAACAACCTTTGAAACAAATCAATCCATCATTACCATACCATAGCAGTCTACAACACATAGCTACAATATACTTTTATAATGGGAATGCATCCCAAATGGCACCCTATTCCATTTAATTTGAACTACTTTTGACCAGGGCCCATAGGGCTGGGCTCTGGTCAAAAGTAGTGCACTATATAGGGAATAGGGTGCCATTTGGGATGCAAACTGGGAATGCAGCGGACGTGGTGGCGTCAGCGCCGGGTAGGCGAGTTGGGGAGGGGAGCGATTGTAAAGCGGCCGGGTCAGACCTCAGGCGGAGTGTTATGATTAATCTACAATGGGATTGGGAGAGGAAATCAGAGCCTGCCTTCTGAAGAAGAAAAGAGAGAGAGAGAGAGAAAGAGAGAAAGGGGCAGATATGAGAGAGAGAGAGAGAAAGAGAGAGAGAGGGAGAGAGAGAGAGAAAGAGAGAGAGAGAGGGGTAGATATGAGAGAGAGAGAGAGAGCGAGAGAGAGAGGAAAATGGCTGACTCAGCTGGTTTGTGTGTGTGTATGTGTGTGTGTGCGCACGTGTGCATGTGTGTGTGCGCATGTGTGTGTGTATGTGTGTGTGCGCATGTGTGCATATTCCAGTCCGCGTGATCAAAACAATCTTGAAGCATGGATTCCGATTGGTCAGACCAGCGTTGAATAGTCCTTAGCACGGGTACTTCCTGTTTGAGTTTCTGCCCATAGGAAGGGAGGAGCAAAATGGAGTCGTGATCAGATTTGCCGAAGGGAGGGTGGGGGAGGGCCTTGTAGGCATTTCAAAAAGTTGAGTAGCAGTGGTAGGTTTACTCAGAGCGAGTGCTACAGTGAATGTGTTGGTAGAACTTCGGTAGCGTTTTCCTCAAATGTGCTTTTTTATAATCCCCAGCTACAATCATTTTGGCCTCAGGATATGGGGTTTCCAGTTTGCATAAAGTCCAGTGTAGTTCTTTGAGGGCCATTGTGGTATCTGCTTGAGCAACTGCTATGACTATAACCGAAGATAATTATCTTGGGAGGTAATACAGTCGGCATTTGATTGTGAGGTATTCTAGGTCGGGTGAACAAAAGGACTTGAGTTTCTGTATGTTATCACAATCACACCATGAGTAGTTAATCATGAAACACCCCCACCCCCACCCCCCCGCCTTTCTTCTTCCAGGAGAGCTCTTTATTCCTGTCTGCGCAATGTACTGAGAACCCAGCTGGCTGTATGGACGAAGACAGTATATCCCGAGAGAGCCATGTCTCCGTGAAACAGAGTATGTTACAATCCTTGATGTCTCTCTGGAAGGAGATTCTCGCCCTGAGCTCGTCTACTTTACTATCCAGAGACTGAACATTAGCGAGTAATATACTCGGAAGCGGTGGATGGTGTGCGCGCCTCCTGAGTCGGACTAGAAGTCCACTCCGAATACCTCTTCTCCGCCGGCGGTGTTTTGGATCAGCCTCTGGAATCAGTTCAATTGCCCTGGGGGGTACGAACAAACGATCCAATTCGGTGAAAGTCGTATTCCTGGTCTTAATGCTGGTGAGTTACCGCTGCTCTGATATCCAAAAGTTATTTCCGGCTGTACGTAATAACACCCAAAACATTCTGGGCTAATAATGTAAGAAATAACACACAAAAAAACAAAATACTGCAAAGTTGCTTTGGAGCTAGAGCTGCCCTATCTGTCGGCGTCATCTTGCATCTCCTGTACTTCATGATAGGATGACCACCACATGCTCTAAGATTATGGGCCAAGAGGGGCTTTTGTAAGACTCTCCTTCTTTGTCCTCTTAAACCCTACTTGAATGCCTTAAAGGAGGACTATAGACGGAAAATAACATGGATTCTCCTAAACACCACAGTGAAGGGTATTAACCAATGAGTCAAACATTTTCAAACTTTTGCTTATTCGTTGGCAATGTTTTATAGCGGATGTAAACCACAGATTAATCCATGTCCAATGTTCCCTCCCTACAAAATCCTACATCCTGATATACAGGGCATGCTGTATAATTACACGGCTTATTTTGTCATATTTTTCAACATTTGTAGTAGTAGCAGAAGCCCTTCCCTCCCTGGGGCTATTTGTGGTGCTTGTGCGTCGCAGTTTACACTACATTAATTACACACATGTCTGCGTGATGGTAGAGCAGACGCTGTGATTCGACAGGGGAATCTAAAACACTTCCTCCAGACTATCCTACTGTACTACACCAAGCCCAGGCTCTAATAACCACACACCCAGCCCAGGCTCTAATAACCACACACCCAGTCCTAATAACCACACACCCAGCCCAGGCTCTAATAACCACACACCCAGCCCAGGCTCTAATAACCACACACCCAGCCCAGGCTCTAATAACCACACACCCAACCCAGGCTCTAATAACCACACACCCAGCCCAGGCTCTAATAACCACACACCCAGCCCAGGCTCTAATAACCACACACCCAGTCCTAATAACCACACACCCAGCCCAGGCTCTAATAACCACACACCCAGTCCTAATAACCACACACCCAGGCTCTAATAACCACACACCCAACCCAGGCTCTAATAACCACACACCCAGTCCTAATAACCACACACCCAGGCTCTAATAACCACACACCCAACCCAGGCTCTAATAACCACACACCCAGTCCTAATAACCACACACCCAGGCTCTAATAACCACACACCCAGCCCAGGCTCTAATAACCACACACCCAGTCCTAATAACCACACACCCAGGCTCTAATAACCACACACCCAACCCAGGCTCTAATAACCACACACCCAGTCCTAATAACCACACACCCAGGCTCTAATAACCACACACCCAACCCAGGCTCTAATAACCACACACCCAGGCTCTAATAACCACACACCCAGCCCAGGCTCTAATAACCACACACCCAGCCCAGGCTCTAATAACCACACACCCAACCCAGGCTCTAATAACCACACACCCAACTCAGGCTCTAATAACCACACACACAGTCCTAATAACCACACACCCAGCCCAGGCTCTAATAACCACACACCCAGGCTCTAATAACCACACACCCAACCCAGGCTCTAATAACCACACACCCAGTCCTAATAACCACACACCCAGGCTCTAATAACCACACACCCAACCCAGGCTCTAATAACCACACACCCAGCCCAGGCTCTAATAACCACACACCCAGTCCTAATAACCACACACCCAGCCCAGGCTCTAATAACCACACACCCAGGCTCTAATAACCACACACCCAACCCAGGCTCTAATAACCACACACCCAGCCCAGGCTCTAATAACCACACACCCAGTCCTAATAACCACACACCCAGCCCAGGCTCTAATAACCACACAACCAGTCCTAATAACCACACAACCAGTCCTAATAACCACACAACCAGTCCTAATAACCACACACCCAGTCCTAATAACCACACACCCAGCCCAGGCTCTAATAACCACACACCCAGGCCCCCAGATACAGCTTGAACGTTTGAGCCCCAGACACTTCTATTTGCCCAAACACAAACTGTCCCTTAAAACCCAAAACAGATGCTGTTGGGTTAGGAACAGATTGGGGATTCTCTCTCACACACACACACACGCACGCACCCCCCCCCCCCCCCCACACACACACGCGCACGCACACGCACACACACACACTACAAAACAGATCTGAATTATGGCTAGACATATCAGTAATAATAGCTATGACTCAACAGTCAGTCAGAACCAGCTTAACTCTGCTGTAGCCTTCAGTTAATTTCAGCATCACCACTCCCCTCTGCCAGTCAGCACCTTTGATTCAGGCACTACCCCATGCTGAGAGGGTGGGCCCCAACCACCTGCCATTACACCACTGAGGGGGGCACAGTGAGAGGATGGGTGGTGGTAGGGGTGGTAAGGATGGGAAGAATACTGTACACACAAGCCTTATTATTCTCCCAGCTGTTTGTGTTACCATCAGTTTGCCTCTAGATATCCACTGCCTTGTTTACAGTGAATGTGGTATTCATAGATGCCGCTGTGTTTTTTCCTCCATCGAGGGTCATTGTAATGAGACGACACGGCAGGCCTACTGGACCTGCTCTGTGCCTGACTGTATGCCTGCCTGCCTGTATGCCTGTATACCTGCTCTGTGCCTGCTTGCCTGCCTTATGCCTGCCTGCCTGTATGCCTGCCTGCTCTGTGCCTGCCTGTCTGCCTGCATGCTCTGTGCCTGCCTGCCTGCCTGCTCTGTGCCTGCCTGCCTGCCTGTATGCCTGCCTGTTCTGTGCCTGCCTGTATGCCTGCCTGTTCTGTGCCTGCCTGTATGCCTGCCTGTTCTGTGCCTGCCTGTATGCCTGCCTGCTCTGTGCCTGCCTGCCTGCCTGTTCTGTGCCTGCCTGTATGCCTGCCTGTTCTGTGCCTGCCTGTATGCCTGCTCTGTGCGTGCCTGCCTGCCTGCCTGCCTGTATGCCTGCTCTGTGCCTGCCTGCCTGTCTGTATGCCTGCCTGCTCTGTGACTGCCTGCCTGCCTGCCACTGGGACTCTTCCATCCATCAGGCTTATCTCCTGATAAACGGCCCATCATACAGACAGTGATTTATATGACCGCTCATGCGCCGCTGGACATGCATATACACACTGCATGCAAATAAACTTGTCTAACCCTCTTCCATTTTCTCTTCCTCCTCTCCATGCGTGAGAGGTGCCTTGAAAATGATGTCACTCACAGCAGCAGGATGACTACGGTTGCATCCCAAATGGCACCCTATTCCCTATATAGTGCACTACTTATGACCAGGGCCCATAGGGGGAGTCCAGAGGCCTCTGGTCAAACATAGTGGACTATATAGGGAATAGGGTGCCATTTGGGACGCTTGTACATGGGTATATAAACCTAGCCAGCTTTCCCATTTTCTTTATTTCTTTCCACCCACTACAGAAAAGTGGATTAAGTACAGGAGATGTGTAAATAGCTGCATCAAATCTGATATCAAAAGGCCTGGCAGACATTTGGGCCGGTCAAAAGGCCTGGCAGACATTTGGGCCGGTCAAAAGGCCTGGCAGACATTTGGGCCGGTCAAAAAGCCTGGCAGACATTTGGGCCGGTCAAAAGGCCTGGCAGACATTTGGGCCAGTCAGATCTGGCTGTCTTTTGTATCTCCATGATTTAAAAGATTGAAATGGGCCAATGTTAGTCTTGTTCACAAACATTATCTTTTAGAGAAAGTCTCCAGCAGTTTGCCTCCAAATGATCCACAACCAGGAAACGTATTCTATTTCATCCACTACCTAAGCCCCCTCCATCCCTACCTGGGTTGCGTCCCAAATAGTACCCCATTCCCTATATAGTGAATGGTCTAAGTCAGTGCTAGCTGTGCCACTAGAGATCCTGGTTCGAATCCAGACTCTGTCGTAGCCGGCCGCGACCGGGAGACCCATTGGGCGGCGCATAATTGGCCCTGCGTCGTCCAGGGTAGGGGAGGGAATGGCCGGCAGGGATGTAGCTCAGTTGATAGAGCATGGCGTTTGCAACGCCAGGGTTGTGGGTTCAATTCCCACGGGGGGCCAGTATGAAAAATAAAATAATGTATGCACTCACTAACTGTAAGTCGCTCTGGATAAAAGCATTTGCTAAATGACTCAAATGTAAATGTAAAATGTAGTGCACACTGTCACCGGCACACAGCGGTATGCCCGGAACACCTGGAATGAACCAGGAACTCCTGGAGAGCTGCAATTAAAGTCTAATACAGCGATGCTACACCGCGTTGCTACGGGCAACTGAAGGCACAGCTCAGTAATCAAAGACAGGAGGAACACGGAGTTGGAGCAGGAAAAGCAGATGAGTGGGGGGGTGTTCTAACACAGTGTTCTATTATAACACAGTGTTCTATTATAACACGGTGTTCTATTATAACACTGTGTTCTATTATAACACAGTGTTCTATTATAACACAGTGTTCTATTATAACAGGGTGTTCTATTATAACACGGTGTTCTATTATAACACGGTGTTCTATTATAACACTGTGTTCTATTATAACACAGTGTTCTATTATAACACTGTGTTCTATTATAACACAGTGTTCTATTATAACACGGTGTTCTATTATAACACTGTGTTCTATTATAACACTGTGTTCTATTATAACACAGTGTTCTATTATAACACAGTGTTCTATTATAACACGGTGTTCTATTATAGCACCGTGTTCTATTATAACACTGTGTTCTATTATAACACCGTGTTCTATTATAACACCGTGTTCTATTATAACAGTGTTCTATTATAACAAAGTGTTCTATTAAAAAAATCAAATCAAATCAAATTTTATTGGTCACATGCGCCGAATACAACAGGTGCAGACATTGCAGTGAAATGCTTACTTACAGCCCTTAACCAACAGTGCATTTATTTTAAACAAAAAAAGTAAGAATAAAACAACAACAACAAAAAAGTGTTGAGAAAAAAAGAGCAGAAGTAAAATAAAGTGACAGTAGGGAGGCTATATATACAGTAAAATAAAGTGACAGTAGGGAGGCTATATATACAGGGGGGTACCGTTGCAGAGTCAATGTGCGGGGGCACCGGCTAGTTGAGGTAGTTGAGGTAATATGTACATGTGGGTAGAGTTAAAGTGACTATGCATAAATACTCAACAGAGTAGCAGCAGCGTAAAAAGGATGGGGTGGGGGGGCAGTGCAAATAGTCCGGGTAGCCATGATTAGCTGTTCAGGAGTCTTATGGCTTGGGGGTAGAAGCTGTTGAGAAGTCTTTTGGACCTAGACTTGGCACTCCGGTACCGCTTGCCGTGCGGTAGCAGAGAGAACAGTCTATGACTAGGGTGGCTGGAGTCTTTGACAATTTTGAGGGCCTTCCTCTGACACCGCCTGGTATAGAGGTCCTGGATGGCAGGGAGCTTTGCCCCAGTGATGTACTGGGCCGTACGCACTACCCTCTGTAGTGCCTTGCGGTCAGTGTTCTATTATAACACGGTGTTCAATTATAACATAGTGTTCTATTACAACAGCGTGTTCTATTACAACACGGTGTTCTATTATAACAGGGTGTTCTAACACGGTGTTCTATTATAACACTGTGTTCAATTATAACACAGTGTTCTATTATAACAGCGTGTTCTATTATAACACAGTGTTCTATTATAACAGCGTGTTCTATTATAACACAGTGTTCTATTATAACACAGTGTTCTATTATAACAGGGTGTTCTAACACAGTGTTCTATTATAACACAGTGCTCTATTATAACAGGGTGTTCTAATACGGTGTTCTATTATAACACAGTGTTCTATTATATCAGGGTGTTCTATTATATCATGGTGTTCTATTATAACACGGTGTTCTGTTATAACACAGTGTTCTATTATAACAGGGTGTTCTATTACAACACTGGGTTCTATTACAACACTGTGTTCTATTACAACACTGTGTTCAATTACAACACTGTGTTCAATCATAACACAGTGTTCTATTATAACAGGGTGTTCTATTATATCAGGGTGTTCTATTATAACACTGTGTTCTATTATAACACTGTGTTCTATTATAACACAGTGTTCTATTATAACACAGTGTTCTATTATAACACGGTGTTCTATTATAACACAGTGTTCTATTATAACACTGTGTTCTATTATAACACCGTGTTCTATTATAACAGTGTTCTATTATAACAAAGTGTTCTATTATAACACAGTGTTCAATTATAACATAGTGTTCTATTACAACAGCGTGTTCTATTACAACACGGTGTTCTATTATAACAGGGTGTTCTAACACGGTGTTCTATTATAACACTGTGTTCAATTATAACACAGTGTTCTATTATAACAGCGTGTTCTATTATAACACAGTGTTCTATTATAACACAGTGTTCTATTATAACAGGGTGTTCTAACACAGTGTTCTATTATAACACAGTGCTCTATTATAACAGGGTGTTCTAATACGGTGTTCTATTATAACACAGTGTTCTATTATATCAGGGTGTTCTATTATATCAGGGTGCTCTATTATAACACAGTGTTCTGTTATAACACAGTGTTCTATTATAACAGGGTGTTCTATTACAACACTGTGTTCTATTACAACACTGTGTTCTATTACAACACTGTGTTCAATTACAACACTGTGTTCAATTATAACACATTGTTCTATTATAACAGGGTGTTCTATTATATCAGGGTGTTCTATTATAACACAGTGTTCTATTATAACAGGGTGTTCTATTATATCAGGGTGTTCCATTATAACAGGGAGTTCTATTACAACACAGTGTTCTATTATAACACAGTGTTCTATTATATCAGGGTGTTCTATTATATCAGGGTGTTCTATTATATCAGGGTGTTCTATTATAACAGGGTGTTCTATTATAACAGGGTGTTCTATTATAACAGGGTGTTCTATTATAACCCAGCGTTCTATTATATCACAGCGTTCTATTATAACAGGGTGTTCTATTATAACACAGTGT